TCGCTATTAGGGTGGAGGCCATCGCTATTAGGGTGGAGGCCATTGCTATTAGGTTGGAGGCGATTGCTATTAGGGTGGAGGCCATTGCTAGTAGGTTGCAGGCCATCGCTTCTAGGTTGGATGCCATTGCTATTAGGTTTCCTCTGCTATTAGGTTGGAGGCCTTTTAAAGACACTTTGTCAGCTGCAATGTTTGAACGACCCGTTCGTGACTCTGTTGCAAGGTGCATCGGCGGCATGCGTGGCATCACATGCATGATCAGTGAAACCTCGCTGCTGGAGCGGGTGGGAAGAAATCCAGCTTGCACCAGCCAAGCCCACAGTGTGAAATAATCAAATTTGGCTAAGGATCATACTTGTTTTCCCCAAATAGCTGGAAGCAAAAGGGGTTCCCCAAAAGAGTTCCCACTTCTTTGCTTCTCTTGGAACACTGGAACTCCGATCGCAACTTTTTCCCTGGAACCCCTGGAACCCTGAAAAACCCTGCGACTGGAGCCAGGCCGTGATCGCAACATCTTATTTGCTCTTGCCATGTACCCTGCCCCCACCACATTGCATTGCTTATCTAGCCCTACTTACTGTGCAGTCTAGATCCGGTCGATTATGACACATGACCGAGAGACTGCATAACTATGCCTAGTGAGGTTTCTTATCCAACATGCTATATGGGGTCCATCCTGGTGTATTTTCTTTCAGTAAACGAGTAGCTGCAGCACTGGCAAAGTGTCTGCGTCACAGCATTCCATTCGTGTTCCTTTTCCATGTAAGATCATATTGGAGGCCATCGCTATTGGGTTGGAGGCCATCGCTTCTAGGTAGGGGGGCAGAGCGGCCTTTCAAAGCTAGTCCTTTGGGTGTCGCATCATCGATTCCAGGACCCAATGGAGGGCATCCGCTACCGTGGACGTACCCTGCAGGATATGCCCTGTGGATTTATTTCGATTCTTTGAATCAAAGGACTCTTGATGTTTTTCTTTTTTTAAGTTATTTTTTTTCGGCCCAATGCTAACAGACTTGTCCTTAGGCATCAAGAGGAATGAGCTCGGAGATTTGTGTCAAGCATTGTGATGGATCAGCTGCACAGCACCAGGACTGCATGGATCAGCTGCCCAAAGCGCCAGGGAGCAAAATTGGTCTCCCAGAGGCAACAGACTGACGTGTGTCGACGTGGATCGGTCGATTGGAGTGGTGTTTTGATGATTTTGATGGGTCGATCCGACCAACCAAGGTGCGCCATGGGTCGACTTGTCTCTTCGTTTTGCTTCTTTGTTGGATTCCATCCTTTTGGACCTCATGTAAAGCCATTTTGGTTGGACAGAGTAGATTCAACATTTCTCTGTTGGCATATGCATTGGCAGAATTCTTAATGTTGGATCCTGATTAGTAAAATAAAATGGATCTCCTCCTAAACAAATGGGAGGCCCTCCATAATAAAATACCACCAAAACAAATCTGGATTCGTGGGAGGATTCCTTTTGCAATTGATTGTAGTATTCATTTTCCTTTCTTTTCATTTCATAGATTACAATTGGATTATACTGATACTTGTTCCTTTTCCTTTCTCAGGTTCTTTGTAGATATTCAACAGATATTCTCAGCCATCCATTTACACTACTAAGAAAGTACTATATAGAAGGTTCTCAGGTTGTTAGCAGTTTTGAAGAAGAACTAGAGAAATCTATAATCATCAATACTCCCAGCAAGCCGGCCATTGGCTTGGTATTATTAAGACTTCAGGAAAGGACTTGAGGAAACACTTTTCATAATCGAGGAATATTAAAATCAATATATTTTTGAGGATCATACGGATCAGGGGCCTTCCTGGTCTACTACCTAGAAAATTTGCTTAGGAGCAATCTTAACATAAAGGACTCATTAGGGAATTGATGGCTTTGGGAAGCTGTCACGTTTGAAGAAGAACTCGAGAAACCATATTATTATCAATAGTCTCAGCAAGCCAGTCACTGGCTTAGTAGTATGCACAAGGTTCAGAAGGATTTAACGCCCGATATAATGCATTTTTAGAGGACTCTTAGCACAAACATAAGGTTCAGAAGTATTATTTGAACACATAGTATTATTGAGGGCCCTTTTTACTAATCAGGATCCAACATTACATGCTCTTACAGTAACTCTTACATGTGTAGAATCCCGTTTGATTTTTGATGAACCAATTTGACCTTGCTGCGCAACTAGGCATCCTTTTGGCTTCTCTTGACAGATGAGATCCCCTCAGATGCAGAAGTAAAGGCATCAAGGGAGTGGGTGGATCGAGCGAATGTCGCGCTTTCAAAAGCTAGACTGGGCCCAGGAGTAGAGCATGATTCGCATTGTAACAGGGGCCAGCTGGTGTTCAATTCATTTCTTCCAATGGCCTTGATGCCAGATTGAACATACCACGCGTTTTATCAACATATACGTCCCAATCCGTTGTGGCCAAGATGTATCGAACGACTAGCTTAGCCTCAGGCGCTCAACGAAGAGCTTCACAAGAGATCTGCGCTGCCCGAGAGCGTGGTGAAGACGATTGACAGTTTACCAAAGGAGACAGATTCTGAAAAGCCACAACTTTCCTCTTGCTAATGATCTTAAACACGATTTAAGCATACGGCTTGAACGCATTGGCCTACAGGCATTGCAGACACAGGGACAAAGCATGGCTTGTCATCGTTTATGCACATCCTACCTATCCCTTCTTCAGAATATTGGCACAAGTAGTTGGTATGAACACTACAACTTGAATGTTGCAGCACTTGAATGGCCTAATCTACCAATAATAAAGCTTCCAGCTGACCACAGAGGGCTTCAAAGACATTCAAAGACCCAGAAATGGGGAAACGATTTGCCCCTGGGACAGATGTAGGATTTGTTAGGTAATTCCTGTAGGATTGCTAGGGTCATTTCTGTACTTATCTTTCTGCTTGATGAGTTGCAGAGCGACCCATGTCGTGGTATCGAGCGACCCAGGTCGTTGTATGGCTGGCAGGGCTTAGGTTGCTGAGGCCGACGGCTTTTTGCTCACCAAGAGGCCGCAGAACGGCACTCAAAGCGGTTCCAGATACTGTGAATTGCATTGTAGATGAGTGGCGCGAAGAAGCAAAGCAATGGGACTTGGGAAAGATTCCTGATATGGTCCCTGCTGGTTTGCAGTACAATCCAGATTTAAGGTCATACTATGAAGGTGAAGGGCCAGGTCAATTTGAAAACCGACCAATCCAAGTGGACGACCGTGAAGCGCCCACTGAGCTTCGCTTCCAAACTCGAGAACAGGCCTCCGACTTCCAGCTGGCGCTGGAATTCTTCGGACGATGGGATGAAGAACCAAGGTCGACGGGAATGGTGTTGGACCTGGGTTGTGGCGATGCTTTGATGGCACGGCGCTTCGTGCAGAGCAAACACTTCCAGACCGTTTTTGCCGTGGACATCCTCTGGGCGCCACTGGCGGCCGCCCGAGCGGCGGCGGAAGCTGAAAACACCTTCAAGGATGGTTTGTTGATGCTCCGCGGTGATGCACAAAGCCTGCCTTTCCGCGAGAAGCAACTGGATTTTGTATGGTGGGGCCTGGGCATCCACAAGGTGCAAGACGCCGAGAAAGCCTTGCGCAATATCAAAGAAGTCTTGAAGCCTGGAGGACGTATGATCGCCACCACGCGGACATTTCTCTATCCTCCCTTTGAGCTTCGATTGATGGCGAAGACTGCCGGGCTGGAAAACATCTCCGTGGAGTGCGTAGGGGAAGGCACCTCAGCCGAGCGGCTTTTGCTCAGAGCTGCTGCGCCAAGAGCGTGACCAAAGTGATGCGCACCGCCGAAAGAGTAGCAGACTGCTTGAGCCTCATTATGTGTAATGCGAGCAATCCACATAGACTCAATCATACACACAAAATACTTTGTATATTGTATGTTTTACATATCTATACTACACGAAATAGCTAGCAATCAATGACTACGGATAGCATCAGAGTCAAAACCAGATGTAAATAGATATAAAATACATATACACACTGTAAACAGTTTTTCTTTTTGGGCCTGGACAGAGGACACCCATCCGATGACTCAGCTCAGCATTGGCCTCTTGGCCCTGCAGCCCACCAGCGAGTTCGGCAAGGCGAGCAGAGACATTGACGCAGCGACAAAAACTTAAAACAACCACAATCTGCTTTTTTTTGGCGACTCCCCTCGTTTTGCTGTTTCGGTGTCATGTGACCTGTCCTGAAGCCCTTTAATCGTTTTTTTCAGGCATACAGATCTGGCACCTTGAAGAAGAATGAGTATTGGCAGGGAGCACCAAGACTCATGCGATGTTGTGCCCCTTTTCTTCATACTCTTCAGAAAGCAGATGGCGGCTGGAACCTGACTGCATAGAATATTGGAATGTCAATCAAACTCGGTGTCTATTGATGTCTTCAAGGTCTCAGTGTTCGGCAACATAGCCTGCTCCACTGGGCAAGTCTGGCTTTTAAAGTTTTCAGAGGATACCAACAAGTGAGCTTCATGCTTCTTCCCCAATAGCGGTTGGGTAGTTTCAATATTCAAGCTCCTGGTAAGGGTCTACACCTTGGAGGACGTGCGGAAGCCTAGGGCCGGAAGAGATTATGCGAATCGGAGAAACTTTGATTCTCGTTGTGGGCTGGAGGACGTGGTAGGCCATGCCAGCAACAGAAGCTACGTGAGTGCCACATACTTACCAGGAACAAGAAGCTACTAGGAACAAGGGCATCGCCACTAGGAGCAAAGGCATCGCCACTAGGAGCAAGGACGCTACGAGCAGCGCCTGGCCATACTACTAGGAACAAGAAGCTACTAGGAGCAAGGACACTACTAGTAAGTATAGATCGATATGTGTCACCTTTCTTTGACGGACCAGATGCTTTCAGGTCTGGTTTGAGCTTGGATTTCTCGAGACACCAAAGGGTTTGATTTCAACTGTAACTTGTGATTAGATTCTTCCGAAACCTTCGGCAAGATACAGTTTAAGGATTTGTGTGGATTGGTGCTGGAAGAAAACAAGTCTTTGGGAAACCAAACGACATTTTAATAGTTGAGTCGAGGGGCTTCTTGTACACCTACAAGCAATCTGGCATGTCCAGTCATGGCTTCGTGTGGAACAGGCGCTGTCCCTGGTGGCCAAAGTTCCTATCCTGGCCGCTCGCATCTTCCGGAATGTATTCATGGAGGGCAAGCATGTCTGGGGCCAGAGAAGCCAGTCGATGCGTGTGTTGCTTTCTCTCAATCCCGTGGGACGCGATGATCCCGTGGGAACTCCAAAAACGCAGTGGTCCCAGAGGTCCTTTGCAGCTTCCACAGGTGATGCCAAGCGAAGCCGGCTCTAGCCTCTAGACAACCGTTTAAGGGCAGCCTGTTGTAGGAATGTCAGGGCAGGCCAGCATAATGACCGCGGGTAAATCAATCTCCACGTTTCGCTACAAGCATACAAGCATCCACAACTGACATGTTTGGGGGTTTGAGATGGAGTATGCTTCAGGATTTCAGCGTTGGGTTTCCACATCAATCATCAATCAACCAATCTTCCTTCAACATGACTTGCCAGATTCCAAGCGACCCATCAATGGATTGGGCTGGCAACTATGCCCAGATGTTGGGTCCGGCAACTCTGTTCTCCGGTGAGAAGACAGCTTTTCATTGTGAAAACTTTGCACATCGCACACAAATGGACTAGTTTCTAAAGACTGCTATATAGCTTGTGAGAGAGACAGAGAGAGAGAGAGAGAGACTCAGAGAGACAGAGAGAGGGGTCATATCAACTTTGCACTGGCAGCTTGCGCGATATTTCAGCTTCCTGTATCGCGTGTAGCTCAAACCCCACAGTCCATGACTTCCGTCATTCTACATGTCATATGTACACGAGTTGTTGGCATCAGAACACGCAGAATAGAGGATCAGGAAAGACCAATTGCCAGGCCCACAGCACTGCCTTTGTTAATGTTTTGAAGCTAATCCCTGATAGTTTGATAGACCCGTGATGGGGGTAGGCGGTTCCTTCACTGCTGTTTCCAATGCATGTGACATGTGGGGCATGGCCTGCAGCTGAGCCGCCGCCATTGCCCTCATTCTCTGGACCACTTCTGCTTTGTCTCACATTTGGTCGGCCCGGTGGTTTAGACTTTTGTGGCAAACAGACAGATATTATTTCTCTGCGCACAGACATATCAACCAAACTCAAACACTTAGTGACTTAGTGCAAATGCATTTCTCGGGCTTGGGCTCAGAAGTAGAAGAAGCCATGACTGTGCTTATGCAATTGATCAGCACACATGAAGAAGGGGGCAGAATGAGTTTGGATGCGACGGAGGTCTTCCAGTCTAGTCTACAGTAGTTAGTCTACACAGGAGATGATTCTGTTTCCTTTCATTTGATGCAGGATGTTGTGGAAGCCTCCCATCAGAGCCCTTGTGTCCACCGCAACTTGACCAGAATTAGAGGTTTAGCCTGAAATATTTTCGCAAGTCATGAGTAACGACACTGAGTAGAGCAGGTCATACGCCATTCGGGTACCAGTATAGTATAGGTCAACACCTCTTGGGTGACTTTCTGTGGGGATGAATATTGATTTGAAGGTCTTAGTCTTTGTAAGTTTTTGTTCCCCAATAGCGATAGCTTGGGGTTGTACACTCTTTACGCGGCTGAGCGCCGTCGGATTCACAGCCCCGGGCCTGGGCGCTGGTGTCCCGGTGTCTCGATCATGTTTCGCCGGTGTCTTGGTCATTTTTAGGTAGTGTCTCGGTCATGTTTTAGTGGTGTCTTGGTAATGTTTCGGTGGTGTCTTGGTCATGTTTCGGTGGTGTCTTGGTCATGTTTGGATGGTGTGTCGTTTCCCAAACGCCTTTCAAAACCTAGGCAGTTGAGGGTCCGGGCTCCTCCATATGTCGGTCCGGCCTGTTTTGGTGGTGTATCGGTTCTGCTTTGGCGGTGGTTCGCTGATATTTTGGTGGTGTCTCGCTTTGTGGCGGTTGTGTCTCGGTCTCAGTCTTTGTGCGTGTGTGAGCTGTGCTCTTGCATGTCCATACACCTGGCACACAGAGTGTACATCATATTGCGGGTGGATATTGTCATGTCGCGTCCGCATGAACAAGACTGTTTTGCTTGAGAAGAGCAATCTTTGTACTGTTTTTAGTTAAAATCATAGTTGGTGAGTTCATGCATGTTCTGCTTATGATGCTTATGTATATATATATATATATTTGCGTTTTTTGCTCTTTTTAGTCTTCGTGATTATATACGCATAACATACGTAAGCATTTGCGTGTCCAAACTCGTATCTTCCATGGTGCCTTGAATGACTGCATTCATTGAACCTGTGGTGTATGAATACTGCGTGCGCAATTTAAAATAGATGGTCCTTTTTTTGTGGTGGCATATTGCTGTGTTATGTTCATATTGATCCTGTATGATATCCTTTGAATCGTCTGGTTCTTTGTCTGTGCGGAAACTGTGTGGGCTCATGTCGCAACACCTATGGTGCCTGGGGTGATTTTTTTCGTTTAGGTTTTCCGCTGGCTTTAAAATTCTTTTGGCGAGTATGTTTCTCGATGCAAAAAATGGTGTGCGGGCACTTGAACATACATTTCAGCCATCGGCAAAAGTTCCTTAAGCGCTCCGTGGCCCATGAAAATTGTGTGCATGTTGTTTGGACCCATTGGATATTGAACTTGTTCTTGCAACTTGCTGTCTAATTTTAGTGTTGTCATTGCATTTCCAAATATTTTGACGTTGGTGAATATTCTTTTGATATGCGTTGGCGCTTATACATTCATTGCTTCTATGTATATTATCTGTCCTGCTTGCTATTGACTGTTGTAAAAAGTCACATTTGCTATTACTATTCGCTTGGTTTGCGTGCTTTTGTAAAGACTATGTGCTTGCATGCCCAAACATGTATTTTCCCTGCCGCCAGCACTTCATGTGTGACCTGTTTGACAGCTGCATTCATTACACCTTTCGTGTACTAATTATGCGTTCATCCTTTTCCAATTCCCGAATACATTTTCGTTCTCCTGTGCTGACAACATTTTCATGTCGTTTGTATGAACTTGTCATCCTCTGCCCGAGTAGGATTTGTGCGCCTGGATATATGAACACCCTTCTTTTTTGGTGCAAACCTTCTTGTTTTGCTGTCTTGAATTGTTCCTTCGATGTGTAGACGATGCGCAGGAACTTGAACATACAATTCTGCCGTCGACGAACATTTGTAAAGTGCTTCATGGTCCGGGGAGCAAACATCTTGCTTGGCTCTTGATTTTGTTTGTGTAACTTTTGTAAGGCTAAATATTGGACTGCATTTCATTTTTGTGGCTTCACATAGACGTGTGAAAGAACAGCGCGACGAACAACGCACGCAGAAAGAAGCGGCAGATCTTGGTAGATGCTTTGCTATTTGGGTGGGGTTAAATGTGCTGGTGCACAAATCGAGAGTGTACCAGACTAGAGGTTTGAACAGAGTGCACAAATAGAGAAGTGTACCAAGTTGACCAGTGCGAAACGCACAAATCTGAAGTGTACGACCGAAGCCCTTTTTTAGACGGAAAAAGGCTGCCAGTGGGGCAGACGCGGGTTATGAGCCCAAGCCTCGGGGCGCAAGTCCACCCAATACCTCCACGCCGGAGGGTTGGTCGCTGGTCCCCATGTCGGCGTGGCCGGCGGCCCGGGCAGCGGTGGGTGGCTCCGCGGCGGACACGCCCAAAGAGGCTCTATGGAGAGCGCGAAGGAGGACGAGATCCTTGCGCTGGAGGACTCCACAACAAATGGGGACTAGGGTAAATTGCAACCGTAGCAAACAACACCGTGCAGACGTCCACAAAAACACCGGTTCCGGGCTCACCGTGTGAAAAAACACCCGTGGAACTGTTGCAATAAACACCTTCCCCAGACCTGTCGCAAAACACCCTGAAACAAAGTACTGTCGCAGAAAACCCTGATTACTGACGCAATTTACCCGAAGCCCATCGATACTATGTTCTTGCCTGGCAGCCGCCATGCATGCACAATGCGAACATTCAACATTTCTTCGTAGTTGCAGCCTTCCCAACTTTTCGTCTCCGGCTTTGAATCTTTCGACAGTGCCAGCCAACAAGAAAGGTGGGCGAAAGAAAGCTTCCAACCTTCCCCCGCGCAAACGCCGCCGCGTTTCTTCCTGATGCCACAAACAAAACTTTCTTGCTGCCATGGAAAAAGGTGAGACATCAAACATTATCTAACGCAGCTCTTTCGTTTCTTTGGTCATTAAACGTTAAACTTTGCATTTTTCATACTGGCTGTGCTTTACCGATTCTGCTCGTCGATTCGACACTTCTTCGCAGTGCGTAGCCATACTGTACGATCTGTCACCGCTGCCAGGTCTTTCTCGCCTACCGCGTCGGGGCGGGGTGCGGCGCCCAACTAACTATACGCACGGTTTTTCTTCTCCCGTTAGCGCCCGCCTTGCCGTGGCGGAGAAGCTCAGTACCGCGCAACTGCGCGGGAAGCTAAGCGGCGCTTGTCGGCCTGCAGCTGCATCTGCTATTGCTTGGTCTCTTGTATAGCTGTATGTCGCGATTGCCGGTTGCCATTGCCGGTCGTTGCAGCGGCTAGATGCCTCGGTGCTGCTGCTGCTGCTGGTGCCTGCTGCTGCTGCTGCTGCTGCTGTGCTCTGTTGCTGCTACCGCTGCGGCTGATGCCGGTGCTGCCGCCGCTGCTGCTGCATTACTGCTACCGCTGCCGCTGATGCCGCTCCTGCCGCTGCTGCTGCTGCTGCTGCTGCTGTGACCGGTCCGCGTGCTGCCTTTGCTGCTGCGTTGCTGCTTGCAAGGCAACAACAGCTGTCGCAAAAAACACCCCTCACGGCTGCAAAAAACACCGCCGTCGCAAAAAACACCTCGAGACGTACGCTCCGACGAGTTGTGGGCTGACCACTGTTGCAAAAAACACCGCTCACTGATGCAAAAAACACCGCCGTCGCAAAAAACACCTCGCGTACGCTCCGACGATTTGTGGGCTGCCCACTGTCGCAAAAAACACCGCTCACTGACGCAAAAAACACCACCGTAGCAAACAACACCGTGCAGACGCCCACAAAAACACCGGTTCCGGGCTCACCGTGTGAAAAAACACCCGTGGAACTGTTGCAATAAACACCTTCCCCAGACCTGTCGCAAAAAACCCTGAAACAAAGTACTGTCGCAGAAAACCCTGATTACTGACGCAATTTACCCGAAGCCCTTTTATATGCACTGGTGCCCGCGACGTCGGTGCTGGTGTCAGCCCAGGGACCGCCCACCTCCTATGGCCCGTGTTGGAAAAGGAAAGGGAGAAGGGGCCAAGTCGGTCCCGGTGAACCCGTTCTGGAGCGAGAGGATGCAGACGGAGGCTCGACTACGGGCGATGCGGCCGGCGGCGCTCCCTGATGGAGAAGCTGACGGTCCCCAACCTTCAGGACGGGTGGAGCCTGTGGACAAAGAGCGGTCAATGGACGTCAAGGAACTCCTCAGGGCGGTCATGGCCCAGAACGCGGCTTTGAAGAAGGAGGTTGGAGAGCTGCGGAAAGAGATCAAAGAGTCCAAGGGTAGCAAGGAGGTGGAGGGAAGGGTGAAGGTTGAGGCCATTGAGG